ACACATCTTGACCTCTCCCAATGGAGACTCAGTTCTAATCACATATACAAATTCAAGATACCCAATTGTCACATGTAGAATCTCGAACACCTTAGTACCATTATAGAGAGTCATTTACTCTATTTAACTGCATTTCGCCTGATCCAATGAACAGAACCACCCGTGCCTCGTTAGCACTCCTTACTAACAACAACTTAAGACATTTTGTGATTCTCACACGCATACGAGGTACCGTGTAACCTTTGAAAATAAAGATAAATAAATTTCTTCACAGCCATCCTTGACCCCAATCTCCGTAAGCCATAACTAACACACCAACGCGCCTCAAACTGGAACGAACATAGCACCTAGCCGTGCAATAAACTTGATCAATAGCAAACTCCCCAAATCAAATTTCAAAATCCCAAGCCCTAGATCAAAACGCACTCCATAAATCCTACGCATGAACTCTATTGCTGTCATAATATCATAGTGAGATTAACTCCAATCCCTTATAAGCTTGTGAAAACATAGATCAGTTAGAATTTAACTCTTCTGCAATTCTCACCTTCACCTTAGTGACAGATACACCCACTCTCTTAGCGACCAATTTAGATTTTGACACATTTTCTTCACTTGTAAATGAGATATCCTAACATACACATAAGGATCACACCACTTTAGAACACTCCGCAGGAGATAACCCACCTGTTTTCGCCTCAATATAACATTTCTGCATATCTTCCACCATTATACACATTACACAGTTACTTAGTCTTCCTGAGATTGAACTCATACCGCAATATGCAACTTACTTCACTCCCAACTAGGAGTCTTGAAAAGATTCTTCACACGCCCATAACTCGGGGCTACGCATCAAATCACCATAGGAATCGAACACTTAGCAGTTCATCTATTACCCAGCAGGCTTCTTCGTCACTACCAAGTCATACAGATACATCTCGCAGTACTAACATACTCACACATAGATATCCAACCGCCATTCCGGCTAATAGGGACAATACCAAACATATAAGTTCAAAACACTTGCTCACACAATCAGCACCTCGGTGCTCAAGCCTTAGGCAAAGATCCGACCTCAAGTCCTCCAAACTGGCCCAACATACTCACGAATATCACATCTCGCCCCTTGATCGGGGAATCACAAACCATCAAGGCACATATAATACTGAGAACTCATTTGCGCATACAGACGTGTGGAAGGAATTTCAAGAGTTATATCTCAAGCTGAATCAAGTACGCACGATAAGAATTCCAAGAATGTGAAGGTTTCCTAAAGGTTCTGCAGCCTCTCGAGGAGAAATACAGGCGTCCCCGTACCGCTCCGCGAGACTCTACTAAACCTGCTCATGACTCGTGAGACCTAGTAACCTAGGCTCTGATACCAACTTGTCACGACCCAAACCCCGGTCGTGATGGCGCCCAACACACTGCTAGGCAAGCCCGACCATTTACACAACCTTAACCAAATAACCTAGATGGATAAATAAATATTCACAAGTAAAAATAACAATTTAAGTACGGAATCTCTGAAATAATTTCTAACATCCGAAAACCCCCAAAATAAAATACTAAATAGCCCACAGATCTGATGTCACAAGTCTGAGCCTCTAATGCATGAGTATTAACCTACTACATAATGTTCCTCTAGAAATGTGGAAAACAGATAAATAAAATAGAAGGAAGATCAGGATTGCGAACGCCAATTTGCAGCTACCTTGAATCTCCCGAATGTGATGCTAGGCAGAGAAAGATCTCACTCAGCCTCAGTGGGTACACCTGAATCTGCACACAAGGTGCAGGGAGTATTGTGAGTACTTCCAACTTAGAAAGTAATAAATATAAATAAAGTCTGAGGATAAGAAACCCTAAATAAACACAAAGCAAAACTATAATTACAACAACGTGAACCAATAGCATAATACAGTAAACATTGAAAACAATTATGATAAAGTCACACCAGAATAAGAATAAATAACAATTAAATATGCAATGCAACACATAAACCGGTACCTCCAGTACCCCGCTGCGGCCGTGCAGCCCGCTCCATTTATTTAACGTCGACGGCGCTCACTAGGGGTTTGCAGACTCCAGGAGGGGCCCCTTACGGCCCAAGCGCAATAATAAGCCATCTCGTGGCATCAATCAGGCCCTTGGCCTCATATCAATATCATCATCATACCACTGCGGCGTGCAGTCTGATCCCATACTCAGTCCAAAATCACATAAGCCTTTCGGCACAATACTATAAAAATATTCAGCCCAAACTTCATTTAAAAATATTACTTTAGTTTCTACTTTTAGAAAAAATGGCTGAGTTTACAAAAACAGTGTTAAATACCAGCACTGAGTTCAATATCTATAAATATGGTAAGAAACCAGTAAAAACAATCCTTGAAGGATTCAAGTAGTTGGCACGAAGCACAATTATAACAATAAATCCATTTTTTATAAGGATATTATAAATCTACAATCAATTAGGTAGTAATTTTATTAAACGGGACGGACCAAGTCACAATCCCCGATGGTGCTCTACCCCACGCCCGTTATCCGGCGTGCAAGTCACCTCACATAGCACTACGATGTGCAAATTCGGGGTTTCGAACCCTCAACACAGCATTTACATTTATTACTAACCTCAAGCTAGCTGAAGTCCTAGCTTGCTACGCCTTTGCCTTTCGAATTCACCTCCTCGCGCATCGAATCTGACCAAAACCACAACGAATACGTCACAATATGCTAAGGGAATATAACCCAGTCGAAAAGACTCGAAAAACATCGAAAATCACGATGTTGGCAAAACTCGAGCCCCGGGCCCACTTCTCGAAAAATTACGAAATTCCCATCAATGGATTCCTCATCTCGCCACGAGTCTATACATACCAAATTTACCAAAATCGGAGTCCATTTGACCCTTCAAATCCCAAATTTTCATTTCAAAAGTCAAGCCCTAGTTCTTCCAATTTTACTCAAATTTCCATGAATTTAAAGGTTGATTCTTCAATAAAATGATGTTTCTAGGCCATAGGACTTACCTCCAATCAATTCCCGTTGAATCCCTCTTCAATTTCTACCAAAAAGCTCTAAAGGTGCTCAACAATGGAGGAAAAATGGATAGACTCGCGGATGAAATATTCAAATAAAACCCTTCTGCCCAGGTATTTTACTCTACGCGAACGCGAGGGTCCTCTCGCGTTCGCGATGAGAAAATTATCACTTTGCCAAAAATGCCCTTCGCGAACGCGGCTTCATCCACGCGAACGCGAAGGCCTGGGTCCTTCATTTACGCGAACGCGAGCCTCCTTTACGCGAACAAGATGGTTCACCAGCTTTCCCTACGCGATCGCGAGGCCCCCTAACGCGAACGCGTAGGCCAAAATTCCTCTCCCTCAAATTTCCTCTACGCGTTCGCGACTCACCCACGCGAACGCGATGAACAATATTTTTTTATGCAACACCAACAGCTGAAACCTGCAATTTTAAGTCCAAAAATGGTCCGATTGACCTCCGAAACCACCCCGAGGCCCCCGGGACTTAACCAAAAGCACCAACCCATCCTAAAACATTATTCAAACCTGCTCAAATCATCAAAACTCATCAAACAACGCTAAAACCATTAAATCACATCGGATTCAAGCCTAAGTTTCTTCAAAACTTCCGAAATACGCATTTGATCAAAAACCCGACCAAAACACCTCCGAATGACCTGAAATTTTATACACACATCCAAAATCACCTAACGGAACTACTGCAACTCTCGGAATTCCATTCCGACCCCCGGATCAAAATCTCACCTACCAACCGGAATTCGCCAAAATACTAACTTCGCCAATTCGAGCCTAATTCTACACCGGATCTCCAAAATAAATTTCGATCGCACTCCTAAGTCACAAATCATCCCCCGAAGCTAACCGAATCACCGGAAATCACATCCGAGCCCTCTAACTCAATAGTCAACGTCCGGTTTACTTTTCCAATACAAGCCTTCCTTAAAGAGACTAAGTGTCTCGTTTTCTACCAAAACCAAACCAATTCAACTCTAACTCACTAAATGCCTATAATGAACACGAAGAAGCAATAAACGGGGAAATGGGGCGGTAAACATGAGACGACGGGCCGGGTCGTCACAAGAAGTCTGCTGGATAATAGATGAACTGTTAAGTGTTCGATTCCTATGGTGATTTGATGTGTAGCCCCGAGTTATGGGCGTGTGGAGAATATTTTCGTGTCTCCTAGTTGGGAGTGAAGTGCATTACATGTGGCAGTAGGAGTTCAGACTCAGGAAGACTAAATGACTGTGTAACGTATATGATGGTGGAAGGTGTGCTCCTACTAAATTGAGGCGGAGCAGGTGGGTTATCTCCTCCGGAGTGTTCTTAAGTGGTGTGATCCTTATGCGTATGTTAGAAGATCTCAAGTGTAATTGAAGGGTACGTGTTGAAATTTGAGAATTCGGGTAGCTTAAGAGAGTAGACTCAACTGATGTGGGAATGAATGCGAGGTTTGCAGAGGATTACCGTACTAGATGATCTGTGTTTTCACAAACTAGTGGATGATTTGAGTTTAATCTCACTATGATATTGTGGCGTCATTAGAGTAAAAGTATTATGGGTTATTGGGTATGTCCTGATATATGGCTTCGAGCCAAGTTGGGGAGGCTGCTGTGGATTAGCTAATTGTACAGTTATGTGCTATGTTGGTTCCGGTTTGAGGCATGCTGGCGAATCAGTTCTGGTTGCGGAAATTGAGCCGAGGATGGCACGAGTGAAGCAAAATTTTGACAAAGGTTATATGATGCTTCGTAGATGTGTGAGAGTCACAGGATGTCTTAAGCTGTTCACTACTACAAAAAAAGCTTTTAGTGGCAATTAAATAGCGGCAATAAACTAATTTCCACTAATTTTATTCACTAAGCTAAACTATTACCGATAAATATTGAATAGCCAGGAAAAACTACTTTTTAGGGGCAATTAGATAAAATGGCCAGCTAAAAAATCAATTTTACTTTTTAGCTTCCCTCCAAAAGTAAATCCTATATTTTCATTTCCTTCTTTCTCTAATTCATCCCGCCTAGGGCTTCTCTCTCAAATACTAGGAGTAATCAATATTCTATGGTTTTTCTCTCGTCATCTATCCAGTCGAGAGAGACTATGTTGCCACTTCAAAGAAAACCAATGATTACCTTTTTAGTATTCCATGAATTTGCAGATCTATATATTTGGAGGAACTACCATTTGAAGATAATCGGCTGACTGAGTGCCAATTAAGGGGAGATCTATTTGTATGAAGATCAAACTATGTCTTTTATTCACATGCTTTTAATTTCTTTTCGCAGATGAATGGGTATCTAACTACCTCATGCTCGTTGTTGCTGATGCTTGCTTCGGCCTGCATCTATATGTATATAAAATCGTCGTCCATTGGAGTAAGTAAGTTTTCCTCATTCTTTATTTTTCAAATTTACTATGATATATGTTGAATTTTTTTTGTTTCGTGTTTACTTTGTATCATTTTTAATAATTTAATATTGTGAGTTGTTTGCTTATACTAATTTTACCCGCGGTAGTGTTCGACAAAATGTCATAATAACGATATATCACTTGAGCAATAATAATTACTGGGTATGCGATTTTACAAGTAATTATTTGAATCTTTGAATCTTTTTGCTTATGAGTAGTTTTGTTTATGAGTTAGATTAGAGTCATTTCACATGTTAAATTACGAAGAACAATAGAAGTACTTTGAGGCTAAATCAGGTTGCTAAATTGTGTTGTTATTCATCATCACTATTTTTTGTTTGAACATGAAAATATTATTTCAAAGAAATAAAGGTTAAATAAAAAATTAAGATGATAAGTTATATCAACAAGTTATCATCAAACTAAGATAGGCTGAAGTTTTTTGGAAATGATGGAGGTGAAAAAATGGAGAATATGAGGAGGAAGATAGAAATTTATTGAAGCATTGAAGATTTTTTTTTTTTTTTTTTTTTTTTTTTTTTTTTAATATTTTCACTTAAAAGAAGAATATTTTTCGTTATATTTTCTTATTTAGCTTAAATGTAATTGTGATATTTTCTTGTTTTCGTGTGTTTGGCTAAGGTGGTAAATCAAGAACCCCTAGAGTAAGTGGATACATTGTTGAAATCACTGGAGTCAAGCTGTTGTAAAGCTAGTTTAATCTGGTGTAAAGCTATTGAGTATGTTGAATAGAAGATTCCATATTGATGTCTTAATGAGTATTTAAGATGTGCACTTTAGTTTTAGATACCTGTGGCTCTGTTTCTAAATTTTTATAAAGAAAAATTAGTTCCTCTCGCTCACCAACAATCTTCCCATTTTTACCTTATGGACAACAGACTATAATTTGATATATTGATCCTAATGAGTATGATAACTATGTCTACATAGCAATAGAGTAAGTTTATTTATTAAGAGCTCTGTTTGGTCCTAGCTCCTTTCCCTATAATTGATCACACTATCTAATGGCAAGCTAATATATTTTGAATTTGTATGAACCAAGTTTAGTTCATTCATGGGCTGCAGTACCTACTCTTATATTATTTCTGGTTAAGAAGAGTATTTATACGTGTTATTGATAATTTCTTTTGACAGTTATTATACCGAGAAAGATGCAGCAACAGTTGTATGTCATATGCTAAAATATGCCGCTCAATGCCATTTACATGGTTTGGTGGATTATGATATGAAATTCGAGGTTTGCAAGAAAGTATGTACTTCCTTTAGTTAGTTCTTGGGATTTTATATTACTTTTAATACACATGTTTTTTTCTTGTGAATTTTTCTCTTTAGGCTGCATATTTTGGTCTTTCAGACTTCATAAGACCAAGTATTTGGATGTCCATAAATCTACATAATCACATATTTTAATCTAAACTCATTTTGCTATGGTGTATGATCTTTAGTTCTTTATAAAATTTGTTGAAGTCATCAATTATGTAGTTTATTTGTAGTTTTCCATCAGATAACAGAAATGTACAACTGAAAATTAATTGATTTAGGGAATAAATTCCAATATATTATTGGTAATGCATATTACGTAGCCCCAGATGTATTAAAACGTAGATCAGGACTCGAATCAGATGTGTGAATATATTTGATCGTTTCTCTATTCTTGGTTGACATAGTTTAGCATGCCTTTTCTCTTAGGAACCAAACTGCATGACGAATGAACTTGATATGATAGAGTAATGTTTGAGTTTTATTTATTTTATGATAATCATTTACTTCATTCTAAATGTTCTTCCTAAAACAGCTGTAGCAGATCCTTGGCTTTAATTTACAAATATCGAGGCTCAAATTTATCATTGGGATTGAACGCTTCTCTATAGGGATAAACTAGTCATGATCGCATGCTTGATTGATTATTTAGTTAATGATACTCTGTTCTTTGATTTTAAGGTGCCGATGTCCTTGTATTAATCCATTTGCTAAATTCTTGAAACTTTCTTCTTCGTATGCAAGGATGGAAACAAGTAAGAGATTTCAATAAATTACTAGGAGTTTCAAATGGTATACATTTACTACCTGTAAAACCAAAACTCCAGTGTTCTTGCCTACGATCTTTGTTTTTTTGATTTGTTTGCTTTAACTTTGATGAACGAGATTTGACTCACTTTATTTTATTATTTCAGGTCTTATGCAATGATGTTTAGAGATCTAACATGTGGAAGTCTTCATTGTGATTAAGAGTTAGAGAAATGTATAGACTCACTACTATTTTGTATTATGGATATTTAATGACATTAGTTAGTAGTCTCGAAATGTCAATATCTTTTGGATTTAAATTGTGTATTTTTTTCTTATGTATTGACACTCAAATTGTGGATTAGTAATATTCGTTACAGTTGTTTCAATTAAACATATTGTGCTTTTTAGAATGAATATGAGCACATTTTATTAGATATTTATGTTATTATTTAGGTGCAAATATTATTATAAACTAAAAAGTTTATTAATAATGTTTATATCACCTTAAGTGATAAATATGCATATTTTTTCTTGACGTATTTAAATGCAAATGGCCATAGTTTTAGTTGCCAATATAATAGTTGTTAAACATTTTTCCTTTAGCGGCAATAAAAAATGATATTTGTCGGCCATACCAAAAGCCATTAAAACAATATAGAAAGGCTGATTCAGAGTAGTATTAGTGGCTATAGTTATTGCCGCTAAATAAATGCCGCTATAATTTGGATCTTTTAGCGGCAATAGTTTGGATCTTTACCAGCACTTCACATAATTGCCGCTAAAGCCTTTAGCGACGCTGGATACAACGGCAAATAATTAATTGCCGGTAGAAGTTTTTGCGGCAATTATTATTGCCACTAAAGTACATATCTATTGCCGCTAAAAGCCTCTTTTGTAGTAGTGGTTGTTGGTAAAGAATGCTCGGTGCACGGAGTAGGAAGGTGTTTGTTTGTATTGGGATGAGGTCATATCCTGCGGTGTCAGAGTGCTATTGAGGCACGGGTGGTTATGTTCGTTTGATCAGGTGAATTGCAGTTTGAATAAGAAGTAAATGACTCTTGAGAATGGTTTTATTGTGTTCAAGATTTTGCATGTAATAATCAGGTGACTTAAGGTTGTGTATGTGGTCAGAGACTGTGTTTTCATTGGAAAGGTCAAGACTTGTGATACTTTTACGTGGATTATGGGGTCCTATGCATCGGTATCTGGAAAGTAAAGGTAACAGATTTAGATTCGCAGGAAGTTCTTCAGAGTAAAGTATTTTGGAATGTGATGTTTCTGGGAATATTTGAGAGAGGATTCAGTGGCTTATGGGTCTTAAACAGTGTGGTCTTGTGCTTGGGTCTCGTGTAGTGAGCCTGGGTTGAGGAACTGTGGTGCTACAGCAAGAGGGAATATCAAGTTGATGATGAATTAGAAGGGAAATTAGATAGATGGGATAGCTTGATAGTAGACCGAATCGGTATGGTAAGGATATGATTAATTTTTCGTATGTGTTCGAGACAATGAGCCCTTACAGGTATTGTGCAGTGAAGCTCTTAGAGTTTTGACAGCTTGCTTAGCTTGGTTTGGATAGAAGGATTCAGTCCTGGCAGTTTAGCTTGTGCAAATGGAATTGGGGAGAGAGTCCTTGTTGAGTTTTACCGTGGTTTGGAGATGTATATATTTTCTATGGGCATGCGAAGCATGGAATGTGTAATGATTCTTTTCTTCTAGATGGGATTGATGGGAGTTCTCGACTAGTTGAGTGAGTAGATGTCTGTGGCTCGGAAGGGAGATAAAGATTTTCTTGCTATCCTTGGATGGTATGGTATACGCGGTATGTTGTGGAGGATTGAGATTTGCGTGTTCGAGGTTTCAGTTCAGTTCTAAAAGGAAGTTCATAAAACTCCTAGGCAACGGGTAGCCTCAGATAACCCAGGGAATGATACTGCTAATTGGAAGTGATTTGACGAAAGTATATGTCTCGGAAAAAGGGTAATGTGATTAGACTGTTGATATCTGAGTTTGTGTGATGGCACAGGGGAATTTTAGAATATCTATCGTGGAATGATTGGGTACTTGGGGTGTGATATGTATTCATACTGCAGAATTTGGGATCAGGCATGGTGATTCGTGTGCTATATGGAGTGGAGACTGGAAGTTCTCAGGTATAGCCTATATAGTGGTTGTGGAGCGTGTGTATCGGCACCGTTTAGTGGCTGTTGGGATTTGGAGGCCCGAGTGGATCTTTCTTTGCTTGGTATATTAGATTTGGATATGATATTGGGGTGTAGACTGGTTGTCTCAGTGTTGGGTTATTCTAGACTGTTGTGCTATGGGCTATGCCGGAAAATGCCACAGGTTGCGTGGAGAGGTGCATCGGATTTTGTTCTAGCAGAGTGGTTTGTATTCCAAAGACCAGAGACGGCTGGGAAGGACTGCTTTTCTTAATTGGGCCTTCGTGACGGATGTCAGTGCAGAGGTTTTCTACCATTGATTCAGTTCCGGTATTGAGGGACTTTTTCGGATGCGTTTCTTGTGGCCGGGCATGTCGTCGGGCGAGATTGTGGATTTCGGTATTGATTTGGTGCAGGGCACCGTATTGTACGGCTTCGGCAGGAGTTATAGTAGTGGAAGGAGCAGCTTCAGGCTCCTTGGTATTGAGTTCGTTGGCAGGTCGATGTGGCTACGTATTTAGCTTGAGTTAGCTTGGATGGCCCCGAGTTGTATTGTTGAGGGGTAGGTTGATTCGATTGTTATTGAACTTGTTAGTGATCTGGGGAGATCTATGAGTTGCTTTTCGGTGTTGTGAGACGTTATGATTTGTTGGATATGGGCACATGTGGTGCGGTTCTATTGAGGATCTATAGAGAAAGTCGAGCGGGAAGAGTGATTGAGTGTTGCTCGGTAAATGGAGTATTGGTTATGACCTTTCTGGGTAGATTCAAGTATTCTATTTCTATGATGTGAGACGGGGTCTCAGCCTTGTGTTGTAATGGTACTGATGAGCTTGAGGTACAGCTCTTTCGTTTGAGTCATTTGTCATGATTTGAGTGTGTTCAGACCGTTTTATTGGTGCGTGTATCATGCAAGTTGTGGCTTAGGCCTGTATTGAGGTGTCATATCACCAGAGCGGTGTGTTGGATTCGAGGTGATCATTGGAGTCACTAATGAATACGAACGGATTTGATTTCAGCTTGTTGGAAGGTTAATATCGAGGTTCGGCTCGGAATCTGTTGTGGTATTAGTCAATAGGGAAGTGGCTTCATGAATGGTTGATTTGAGAAATGGTTACGGTTTATTGCGTGTTCCATTTGTCGTTGGCAGTATATGAAAGTGTTGGAATAAGACTTTAGCTAATAAAAGGTTTTCTACCGGTATTTGGTTATTGTGGGCAACTGCTGTGAATAGAGGCTATCGTTTCGAGTGTTTGGATTATGTGCTATATCAGATGGTCTCACCTGAGGTTGCAGGTATGGGTTATTACAGCTGGTTCGGGTTTATTCTGAATATAGACGTGAGGTTCTGATCTTGTGTATGATTTCAGAAAGTGCAATGTGGTTCTACGGTTCATGGTCTAGATGGATTGTGAGATTTCAGCTATGTTGTATTATCGGACCTATGCGAGATAGGGTGACGTGGGGTCATCCCGGTTGTATGATTGGTAAGGTCATTCAGCTATTGGTTGGCTTTTAGTACAACTCTGGGTATGCTCGAGGACGAGCGTTTGTTTAAGTTGGGGAGGATGTGACGACCCGAGCCGTCGTCACGTGAGTTACCGCCCCATTTTCCCCATTTTCGGTTTCCTTATGTGTTATTATACGAGTCTTGTGTGAATGAGTTGATTTGGATTGATTCTGGATGGAAATGAGACATTTAGTGTCTGTAAGGAAGGTTTGGTTTGGAAAAAGTCAACCGGATGTTGACAATTGAGTTAGAGGGCTCGGATGTGATTTTCGGTGATTCGGTTAGCTTCGGGGTATGATTTGTGACTTAGGAGCGTGATCGGAATTTATTTTGGAAGTCCGGTGTAGAATTAGGCTTGAATTGGCAAAGTTAGTATTTTGACGAATTCTGGTTGATGGGTGAGATTTTGATCCGAGGGTCAGAATGGAATTCCGAGAGTTGCAGTAGCTTCGTTATGTGATTTGTGATGTGTGCGCAAAATTTCAGATCATTCGGAGGTGTTTTGGTCGGGTTTTTGATCGAATGCGTATCTCGGAAGTTTTTGAAGAACTTAGGCTTGAATTCGATGTAATTTGAGGATTTTGGGTGTTAGTTGATGTGTTTTGATGATTGGAACAAGTTCGTATGATGTTTTAGGATGGGTTGGCACTTTTGGTTGAGGTCCCGAGGGCCTCGGGGTGATTTCGGATGGCTATCGGAATGAAATTTGAAGTTTGGAATTGTAGGTTTTTGGCAGCAACAGGTATTTCCGCATCTGCGGAAAGAAAACCGCAGATGCGGTTGCGCAGAAGCGGGGCAGACGTCGCAGGTGCGATAGGACTAAGGTCGAGCATTTTCCGCAGAAGCGAAAAATTATCCGCATAGGCGAGTCCGCATAAGCGAAAGGTTTACCGCAGAAGCGGTTTTTGGATTTTTAAGAGGATCTGTAGAAGCGGAGAGAAGGCCGCAGAAGCGGTCCCGCATAAGCGTAAACGGGACCGCAGAAGCGAAAAATGGCCTGGGCAGAAGGGTTTTAAATATCATTTTCATCCGCGAGCTTGGGATATTTGTCCACCATTGTTGAGCATCTTGAGAGCTTTTTGGGAGCAATTGAAGAGGGTTTCGACTGGAGTTTATTGGAGGTAAGATTTTTGAGTTAAAAACATGATTATTATGTGAAATTAACCTAGACATTCATGGAATTAAGCCTAAAAATTGATGAACTAGGGCTTGGGATTTTGAGATTTAAATTTGGGATTTGAGGGAGCATTTGAGCTCGGATTTTGGTAAATTTGATATGTATAGACTCGCGGCGAGATGAGGAATCCATTGATGTAAATTATCTGATTTTTCGAGAAGTGGGCCCGGGGCTCGGGTTTTGCTAGTTTCGAGATTTTTGCTATTTTTCGATTGTTTTCGATTTGGTATTGTTCCCTTAGCATATTGTGATGTATTCGCTCTGTTTTTGGATAGATTCGACGCGCGTGGAGGCTGATTTGAGGGGCAAAGGCGGCGCGAGCTAGAGATTTCACCGGTTCGAGGTGAGTAATGATTGTAAATGATAGTCTGAGGGTTTGAAACCCCGGATTTGCACATCATAGTGCTGTATTGAGGTGACTTGCACGCCGGATAGCGAGCATGGGGTAGAGCACCGTTGGGGATTGTGACTTGGTCCGTCCCGACTAATGAAATTACTACGTATTTGACTGAAACTACTTGTTATCATCATAAT